ACTTACCCACTACCCATTATTTAAAATAAAACGAAAATCAATAGTTAATATGTTTTCAAAAAACAATGATATTGACTGTAATAATAGTGAAATGATAAGAATACTTACATCCTATATTTATTGTTTAAAATAAACGAAAATCAACAGTTAGTATGTTTTCAAAAACAATGATATTGACTGTAATAATAGTGAAATGATGCAAATACTTACAATCTATATTTATTATTTAAGATAAAATGAAAATCAACAGTTAATATGTTTTCAAAAACAATGATAGACTAATAATAGTGAAATGATGAGAATACTTACAGGCTATATTTATTATTTAAAATAAAATAAAAATCAACAGTTAATACAAAAACAATGATATTGACTGTAATAATAGCGAAATGATGAGAATACTTACAGGCTATTTATTACATAAAATAAAACGAAAATCAACAGTTAATATGTTTTCATAAACAATGATATTGACTGTAGTAATAATAATGATGAAAATACTTACATCCTATATTTATTATTTAAGTTAAAACGAAAATCAACAGTTGATATGTTTTCAAAAACAATGATACTGACTGTAATATAATGATGATGAAAAAATACTTACCAGCTATTTATTATTTAAGATAAAACGAAAACCAACAGTTAATACAAAAACAATGATATTGACTGTAATGATAATAATGAAAATACTTACAAGCTATATTTATTATTTAAAATAAACAGTTAATATGTTTTCAAAAACAATGATATTGACTGTAATAATAGTACAAAAATACTTACTACACTATTTATTATTTAGAATAAAATGAAAACCAACCAATAATTAATATGTTTTCAAAAACAATGATATTGACTGTAATAATAGTGCAAGGATACTTACGGGCCTATTTATTATTTACAATCAAATGAAATCCAATAATTAGTATTTTTTCAAAAACAATGATACCGAATATAATGATAATAATAAATGAAGTACTTCGCTTCGCCAAATTCTTGTTATCAATTGGGCTTGCTAAAGCCATAACAGCAAAGATAATCAAAAAAAGAAGAGAATATTGAATTTCATTTTGATTTGTTCAGATAATTTTGTCAAGTTTTCACTTTTTTTTTGATTTTCAAATTGTATAGAATTACTTACTGTAATAGTATTTATAAAAAAAATGAAAGCGAATTTTTGTTTTTAAATTGCATGCAGTTGTTATTGGAATTAAGATTTAAAGCTGATTTGTTGGTCGAAATACCCGAATCTTTTTATTTCTATTTATATCTTTATTTATTTATTCCTTATATTTCTTATTTCATTTCTTATCATAATAAACGTCATTTAATACTTAATATTAATATTAATATCAAATTTAGGGAATTGTTATTCGCACCCCACGCGACTAAGTGTAGTAATGTGACCAATGAATGGCTTGACCAAATAAAACGCTTAGCAAATGCCTTCGATCAAATAAATCGTTGGTACTAATACTACTAAGCTTGACAGTATTATTATTACTACTACTATCGTTATTATTATTACTATTATTTACTATTGTTATTATAATATCTCGCATTTAATGGTTCAAATTATTTGTTTTTTTCATTATGAATTTGAGTATTCGAATTATATTGAAAGTTTTATTCGAATAAACGAATAAAACTAATAAAACTAATAGAACGAATAATTCGAATAGAACGAATAATAATTTGAATTAAAATATGACTTTTATCCTGCTACGATATACATATTGTATTTTGTTTTTTGAGCAAATGTATGTTTTTTTTTGTCATTCAAAGTAGTGTAGGCGGACCCATCTCAACTAAATGTCTATGCCATTGAATTCTGCACTAAAATCCCAGACGTTAAGAAAATTTTTTTTAGCCGGCTAACATCACTATCTGCAACTTTAAATACTCAAGTTTAGAAAATGATGTAACTTACTTTTATTATTATGTG